ACAAATTAAATTTTTTTTAATAAAGCTTATTCATATATATATATAGATAATAATCATGCGAATTCAAATAAATAATATTAATTTTGTTGATTATAATACATTCAATGCAAATACTTTAGATTATTATATCAAATTGTAAATACAATTAGTAGGAGTTATGGATAAAATCAAATTTTAGATGGTATTATATAGATGTAAGATGAAAATAAAAATAAAGAACTTTAGCATCTTAATTAAATGGAACAATTATTTCAAATGCAAGGTCGAATTTAAAGTATGGAAGCCCTGTAAACATCGGTCCATTAAAAGATTCTATATATATAACTGGTCAACCTAATCCGCATTGTTATACATTTAGTATGATGGATGTTTAATTTAAACAAAGATATGAAATTAACTAAATAAAAGTCTGGTTCTATGATTTAGACGGTAGAGTACATAGTTTTAAAATAATTTTGATTGATAAAGATAATATAGAAAAGGAATTATTTTCAAGGTATTAAAAACAAGGTCTTGTAACAATTAATTTTGAAGATCATTTTGCATTATAGATAAAATAATCATTATGCCTGATAGTACGTATAATGCATAAGCTATTATAAAATTAATGTTTATTATATTAATAAGGTTTTACTTAATTAATGCAATAAAAAATTTAATGTAAAATGCAGTATCAATAATTAGAATGGTTGCTTAAATACTATATATGAACATTTGAATAAATTGTTTTTTTATAGACTCATATTAAAAATACATTGATTGATTAACCTCTAATTTAAGCATTATCTAGTTGATGAAGATAACATTCCAAAAAATTAAGATTTCTGATTCAAAGGTGATTGATAGAGGAATTTGTAATGTACGCAATTATAAAAAAATAGAATATAAATGAGTAATAAGATTAAATTTTAGATAGACATCTTAAAGATTTGTATGTTCAAAATATATACATAATAGTAAAACTAAACTATTCTTAAAAAAAAAGGAAAGTTTAATTATCTATTATTCCAAATCAGAATAGCTATATTCTTGATTATTATAATAAAGAACTTACAAATTCAGTCATTTGAAAAATCATTAAGTAAATCTTGTTTCATATCAGTTAAAAGAATTTCTGATTAATTATCTTAGTTCTAATTGATCAAATTTCTTAATTTTTTAAAGAAAATTGATTGATAAATTCAAAAGAAAAAATTATCAAAATTTAAAGATGTACATATGATATAACTCCTTTGTAATAAAATTATTTCCAGATTAAAAAAATAAAAATCTTAATAGATTAACAATGAAGACTTTAATCAACATAATACTATTCCTAATACACATAATAATGAATGATACTTCTGATAGTCAAATGATAAAAAAAGAAAATTCAAATAATCAAAAGAAATTAGATAATAGTGATTCAAAAGCCAATAATCAGATTAAAGTTTACAAAAGACTTATTAAAAATATAAATGAAATTTTAAATACATTCAAACAATTTAATCAAGAAGAAAAAGAGATTGAGTTAAATTGGACCCCATTTCATTATGATAGATAAAAGAAAGAAGGTAATGAAGATTAGTCATCTAAAGATAAACAATATGTGATTAATGATGGACCCTTACCATTGCTTGGAAAAGTTATAAAAACAAAAAATCAAAAAACAAAAAAAGATGGTGGCAATATCTAGCCATGTTGCAATTTGATTGGGTCAATTTCTTTTCGGATGCACAATAAGTGCATTAATTTGTGGAGCTGCGTTACCTATAGGAAAAACTTTTATAAATAGAGGAATTTCAGATATGGTCTATTCTATCAAAGCAGCTTGGAAAGGATTAGAAATTAATTGGGGAGCTTGGGGAAAAACAAAATGATTAATATTGCATCAGCCTTAGTCTTAGCAGGACCTTTTGGAATTAAGGAAGCTCTCCAAATAGGAGGCTAAGCCTTTAAATCAATACAGTAAATTGATATTACTGAATTTTCGAGATAAATTCCAACTGTTACAGTGGATGGATTGAAAAAAACAGGTTTTTGGTTAAGTGATTCAAATATAGTAAAAATCTAAAATTAATATTAAACTTTGTAAATGATATAAGAAACTGTTTTAAAAACATAGAATAATATTCAAATATTAAATTTAGCAACAGAAGTTTTAGGAGATTAAGTTAGAAATGGAGCTATTTCTGAAAGTATATCGTGTAATCTGTACGATTTAATTAATTAATGTTTTTAATAATCTAAAGAGACAATTAATGTTTTCAAAATAGTTTTTGTGAATTAGGAAAAAAATATTTAAGATTATAGATAGCTAAAAGTAATAGTAACAAATCAGAAAAGAATTTAAAAAAAAAATTGAAGAAATTTGTTCTATGCAGGGAAATAAAAAATTTAATGGGTTATAAAGCAAAATTCATGAATATTAATAATATGAAAATTAACTAAATGATGAAATTTAGTAATTTTCAAAAATTTTTAAAATAATTTATTTGAAAGACTTTGAACTTTAAAAAAATAGTAACATTAGCTCTGTATTTAAAAAAATGTTGCAATCGTTAGGAAGTGGAGAAAGAGATTAACAATACCAATATCTAAAAATATTTAAATTCAACCTTCAATATAAATGATAAAGATATTTAGGATGAATGTAATAATGTAAAAATACTAGATAAATTATCAATGATAAATTTTATTAGAAAGTAATCAGACCAAAAATCATAGATATATGTAATATTTTTAGAGATAAATGCAAATTCACAGAACCAATAGAAATAATTTTTAATGAATAGTATATTGCCATTTGAACACTAATATAGAGCAATTTAGTCACAAGCTAGCTTATATTAAATGCAGAATTAGGTGAGTTAATATTAAGTTGAATAAATTGAATAATAATGTGAATAATTAAAATAAATAGTTAATCTGGAAACATAATTATTGGTGTAAAATGCTATTAACTATAAGAAAAATGAATAAATGATTAATAATGATGGAATCACCGTTTCAAATCAATTTATGAATAAGTTTAATAATTACTTGAACCAATAAAATTATTTTAGTATGATGATTGAGATTATGAAATAAGCTATGAAAAAAGCACTCTTTCAAATTTTAAATAAAATTGTTAGGAAAAACAGTTTGTAAAAGCTTTAATTCAAGCTGTAGAAATAGAAATAATTGATAAAATATAAAAATAAATCTTTAAGTCAAGAATAAAGAAATAAGATAAATTATAAATAAGTCAATATGAATGAATAATCAATATCCAATAAAATCATAATAACCATAAATTCTTAATCTATTTGTCGATTTCAATTTATAGAAATTTATTTAATTATTAGAAATTTCAAATTGAATCTAAGTTATTTTTTTTAAATCATCTTATTCTTATTTATCAAAATTATCAGACCTACATTTATTTTTTTAATATTAATAATTATAGAAATTATAAATCATCAAAGAAATCAATTTTAGAAACAAATTCACAAAAAAAATATAAGATTGATCAATTTATTTTGTGAATCGAAAATTCTACTCTAACAATGGAAATAACTTTTTAAGCTTTTGTTAATACATTCTAATTTAGAATCTTTCTAATTTGCAAGAAAGTTTTTAGTATTTCTTCTAATCTATTTTAGTAGCCTTATTTCAAACATGATCACAAATATTATTTATTTTTCTAATTTGATGCAGAAATCAAGCAGTTTGAACTTCAATATCAGTTTTCTTTGATGCTCTGTTGTTTGATAATAGATGGTTCGAAACAAACCTTCTACAAACATTTATTATTATTCAACTAAGTTCAACC